AAATGTTGTACTTTTATGAAAATTAATAGTTCTCATATTTTTAATTCAAATGAATGCCAAATACTTCATCTAAAGCTCTGAGCTGTTTATATTTTCCTTGTTCGTGTAATTGATAGGAATCCTCCATAGAAATTTGGGCGAACATATATTTTAGTGCAAGAGCATCAAACACTCGAGATGAATACAAAGATAAGCACCTACAATTCGAGATGTAGGCAATCTCTCCCAATTCCTACAGTTTGAGAGATAGGAAATCCACCATAAACTTTAACCCCAAGACTCATAATAATAATCTAACGCATAACTCTAATTCTAAACATGAGCAGTTTTTTTCATACTAAACCATAATAAATGACAAAAGAATAAATTGCCCGTAAGCCAATAAAATTCAAATTTGCACTTAGGTGTTGACCTAACATTACTCCCATCCCAAAAAGACATGGTGTTCTTCCTTCATCATAGCTTCCTCTATTTTTTCTTGCTTTTCACCACAGACTGCGAAAACTTACAATGTTTGATTTTTATAACGGTATACTGGGATAGACTTCTCATCACACCGAAAACATAACCTTGAGGCTCTCTTCTCTTGGAACTATCTTTGTAATACGCTTGAGTGCGCCCCGGTTGTGACTCCTGACTTTTGTCTTGTGAAGCATTCTTATGAACTTGCATTATTTGAGCTCATAGTGTCATCGTGATTGTCGCAGTTCAATGCGACACTCCACCTGTGTTGCTTCTATTAACTCGTTCCATTGCACTATAATCTTCAACCAACTGCGCTAGTTCCATAGTTTCTCCCATGTCTTGCGGACTTAACGCACGAAGTGGTGCACGTATGTCGGGCTTTAGACCCTTCATGAAGTTTCTCTCTAATACTATTTCAAAAATCCCTTTTAATTGTTCTGACAATAGCTCAAATCTATCTCTATGCTCCATACATCCCTTTCTGAAGCAATGCAAATAATTAATCGTGTCGATCTCCTTCCTGAATAACTCAAAAACGGTTCGACAAATCATAGGGTCTGATTGGTTGACGTTGTTCTCTCAATCAATTCTTTCCAAACATAGGGTTGTGACCATGAATTTTGTTCCTCCGTCAATCCATTAACAACAAAATACCTTTCCATGTGATAGACCCAACCGTAGGCATCATCTTATTCAAAGATCGACATCTTCAGCTTCCTTATGTGTGAGTTTCCTCCTCAATTTCTTTGATCGAAGTTCAGTCCATCCATAAAACAGGGGTTGAGTTCCCTTCTACCATGTTGATTTATCTTCTTCCATAAGTTTGCCTCGCCCCATAATCAACTCGCTCTCCCTCATAGGTTATTGAATCTTCTTTCGCTCCAAAAGTTGTTGCAACAAAGGCGCTAACGCTGTTGAATTGAATGCCAAATACTTCATCTAAAGCTCTGAGCTGTTTATATTTTCCTTGTTCGTGTAATTGATAGGAATCCTCCATAGAAATTTGGGCGAACATATATTTTAGTGCAAGAGCATCAAACACTCGAGATGAATACAAAGATAAGCACCTACAATTCGAGATGTAGGCAATCTCTCCCAATTCCTACAGTTTGAGAGATAGGAAATCCACCATAAACTTTAACCCCAAGACTCATAATAATAATCTAACGCATAACTCTAATTCTAAACATGAGCAGTTTTTTTCATACTAAACCATAATAAATGACAAAAGAATAAATTGCCCGTAAGCCAATAAAATTCAAATTTGCACTTAGGTGTTGACCTAACATTACTCCTATCCTAAAAAGACATGGTATTCTTCCTTCATCATAGCTTCCTCTATTTTTTCTTGCTTTTCACCACAGACTACGAAAACTTACAATGTTTGATTTTTATAACGGTATACTGGGATAGACTTCTCGTCACACCGAAAACATAACCTTGAGGCTCTCTTCTCTTGGAACTATCTTTGTAATACGCTTGAGTGCGCCCCGGTTGTGACTCCTGACTTTTGTCTTGTGAAGCATTCTTATGAACTTGCATTATTTGAGCTCATAGTGTCATCGTGATTGTCGCAGTTCAATGCGACACTCCACCTGTGTTGCTTTATTAACTCGTTCCATTGCACTATAATCTTCAACCAACTACGCTAGTTCCATAGTTTCTCCCATGGCTTGCGGACTTAACGCACGAAGTGGTGCACGTATGTCGGGCTTTAGACCCTTCATGAAGTTTCTCTCTAATACTATTTCAAAAATCCCTTTTAATTGTTCTGACAATAGCTCAAATCTATCTCTATGCTCCATACATCCCTTTCTGAAGCAATGCAAATAATTAATCGTGTCGATCTCCTTCCTGAATAACTCAAAAACGGTTCGACAAATCATAGGGTCTGATTGGTTGACGTTGTTCTCTCAATCAATTCTTTCCTTTCCAAACATAGGGCTGTCACCATGAATTTTATTTCTCCATCAATCCATTAACAACAAAATACCTTTCCATGTGATAGACCCAACTGTAGGCATCATCTTATTCAAAGATCGACATCTTCAGCTTCCTTATGTGTGAGTTTCCTCCTCAATTTCTTTGATCGAAGTTCAGTCCATCCATAAAACAGGGGTTGAGTTCCCTTCTACCATGTTGATTTATCTTCTTCCATAAGTTTGCCTCGCCCCATAATCAACTCGCTCTCCCTCATAGGTTATTGAATCTTCTTTCGCTCCAAAAGTTGTTGCAACAAAGGCGCTAACGCTGTTGAATTCAACCCTCAGTCGGATTCCCGCCCATCCCAATTTCTTGTTTCGGGCCAAAATCCTTCGAATTGATCTTCCCCAACTTTGAATCACATGGTCTCATTTTGCCTGTTGACACTTGTTTCAGCCGTCTGAATGTTGTGCTATTCTTTCCTAATGTTGTCGTTCGAGTACATTTCTAATTCCTTTGCTCGATCTTGCTATAGGCAACAGATGGTTTGTGTGGGACTTCACATTTCACAATCTTTTTTATCATTTCTTCTATGACTGTGAAACTCCCCTTCATGACCAAATAATGTTCATCCATTCCATATTTGATTTGACTGATCACTTCATCTAATTTTTTCTCTTAGTCATCTACTGTCTTGGTTTCCATTGCTCCCTGTATGATTTTAGAACTCCTTTACGCTGAGATTAAAAGGTTAGAAATTTTTATATGCAGTGGAGGTGCGGGATTATGGACGCCGCGATCCTATTGCCGGTCTCTCTCAATCGAAATTCCAATCCCAACAAATCCTGATCGCACGAGCAACTCGAAACTTGTTTATGCCGCGATTCGTTCACTTCCTGCACACTTTTGTACACTGCGATCCCGTCATTGGCTTCCTAGCTAGGAACAAAAAATACGAAATTGTGTCTTTATGCGATCCTGATTTTTTGCCCTATACATCGTAATGCCTCTATTCCTTTGCAGCTAGCTCTAATCATGAGTAGATCACAACGACGGACCGGGAGGAGGAGAAATAAGGAAGTTTCGGGTCTCTGTAAGCCATGATCCAATCTTCGCCTTCTCCACAAAATCACATACGGCGATTCTCCTGCGAAGAAGGGAGTTTTGGGTCTATGTAAACTGCAATATTGTCTTTGCCTTCTCCGCCAAATAAAGTATCGCGATCCCGTTGTTGCCTTCTCCGCTAAGAAGGGACTTTTGAATCTCTCTAAGCTACGACCCCGTCGTTGCCTTCTCTGCAAGCTTTAATCACGACTGTATGATGATCCTACGTGTTGTACTGCATTGAGATGCCGTCTGTTGCTTCTATTGTTGGTTGTTTCCTAGAAATTTTGCTATGATGCCACTTTCATAGGAATATTCCATAAAAATTAGGTCAAACATATATCTTATTACAAGAATATCAAAAACTCATGATAAATACAAAGATAAGCACCTACAACTCAAGAGGTAAGCGATCTCTCTAAATTCTTACGATCCAAGTGGTAAGAAATCTTTCCCAAACCCTAATCCTAAGACTTAAAAATAATCACATGCATAACCTTGACCCTAAACATGATAGCATTTTTTTTACTAAATACGATAAAAAAATTAAATTGCTCGTAGGCTAATATAAGATAAATTTGCCTTAGATGGTGGTCTAAGAGAATCAAGTTGGTGCTACCAGTTATATATGCTTTTGGGAATGTTGGCAATGATAGCATGGATAATGTCTTAGTGTTGTAAAGTTTTATTTTTGGGAGATATGATTTTATGTCTTTATGAGAATAATCTCCACCTTATTAGTTTTTCCTTATATTTTTCTTTCCTTATATTTTTCTGCATACAAATGTATAAGCTTTTATGTTCAGTGAATAACATTTTCTTTACAAATCCTTCCCTATTAATTTTATCTATAAAAGTTTATAGTGCATTTTTTATTATGTACTGTACAAAGTTCATTTTTACTATTTATCATCAATTATGGCTTAGTCTATTTAGCATCTGGAATTGAGCTTGAGATTTTTTGAGTTTCAAATGGATCAAAGCGAGTTATCTTTTTTTTTTTCTTAACTCACCTACATAAAGATAGGAAGTGAGATTCGCTTATGAGGGCTTGAAAATCACCTATATTTTTTGCATGTTGCTTAAAGTAGTAAAATAATTTAATATTGAAAGAAAATTTTGCTTGGATTTAAATTTTTTTCTCAGTAGTGCTAAATAATACAAAATTAATGGGATAATGGATAAAACATGAACTCATTGCTGTATGAACAAACTTGAAATAAGATTTCATTAATTCATGCAGAATAAACGAATGCCATTGAAACATTCTTTTGAAACTTCGCTCCGACAAATCCAAACTCTTATGCACTTAATTCGAGAAATTTATCACACCACTGTGACAATCTCTATTTCTGCTTACTTGGCTATTAGCTATCATTTATACATTCAACAAATAAATGAATATGTGATGATTGATCGAATTACAAATTTATAAAGCTGCTCGTAGGCCTTCATATTATTCTCAGACAATGTATTTTTATTTATATGTAGCCACCATTTTTTAACAGGTCTAAGTGCATATCTTACAACTCCCTTGGATGTGATAAAGACAAGGCTGCAAGTGCAGGGATCTAACTTGAGGTAATTATTATAATGATTAAACTTTTCTTTCCACGATAAAAACGTATCATTTACCGCAATAGTGCAATTAGTGTTCCATGGAAAGGTTCTCATCCTTCTAAGTTACTTCTGCTTCTCTTTTTTCTTTTATTTATTCAGTATCATGTTTGTAAAGCTTATCTCTCCACCCTTCTTCAAAAACTATATTTTTCTTCATTATTTGCGTCCTGTGGCCTATTAAAAAGAAAATCCTTACATTCCAAATCATCTATATGTGGAGAGGTATGTGAAGCTTAAGGTTTGTTTGGAACAATTTTTAGTCTGATTTGCATTTTAGATTGCCATCACAAATTATGTTGGGGAATTCTTTTCTTTCTGTTCTCTATAAATTTTTGTGGTGAGAAGCTATTTTTTGCAACCAAATTTGTTAAAATTTGGTCGTTGTAAGAAAATCATTGTATGATTTTTTAAAAAGATTAAATAATACAATTCACACCGCAATTTTCTAAGAAATTTTTTTACTCATCACAACATTACAACTATCTTTACAAAAGCTGCGGCCATTCCAAATAGAATGTTAGGTTTGGTTTGGGGCAGTTGCAGCTATTTGAAGTAATTGTGAAACTGCTATAGAAGAAACTGTTATTCAAAAAACTGTGGTGCCTATTACAAAAAAATTAACTACAACATTGTAGCAGCCACCGCAGGTAGCCAGATCTGGTGGCAAAATGCAGTTTTTCAGCTGCAGTTTTCTAGAAAAAACTGACAAAACGTAATTTTGCCAAATAAAAAAAACTACGGTGTGGCAACACATCATCACCCTAAACGCACCCTTAGTCTAACTTAAGCTAGCGGGGCTCAATTATTGCTGTAACTCTGCTCAATATTGATAATATATAACTATTTCAGTGACACTATTGGCTGCTCCTATTTTTATGCTGCTTTTCTACTTCTGGCTCAAATATTCATGAATGAATGAACTAAGCGTTTTTAATATTTTTTGTGTTGACCTATTTTCAGGTCAAGAAGGGGCTGTTTTGCTATTTTTAGCATTAGGAAAATTTCTAAATCCATATTTAGTAAATTCCAGCAGGATTAAAACCTGAAAACTATTTGGCATCACAGCTTTTATCTTTTTTTGCTCAGTAAACTGTTTCACTATTTGTCTCAGGCTTTCTGATTTATGATTGGAGAAATTCTTATATCCGTCTGAAGTCTTGTGAGTGGTGGATTTAATAAATCCTGGGTTTAATAAATAACACGGTTGAAATGATATCCATAAAATTAGTATGATTTGAAGCCCCAGTGTTCTATTTCACTTAAATCCTGTGTAAACAGGCACACAAAATTGTACAATAAGTTTGATATTTTAGCAAAGTTTAATGATACAGTTCAAGAGTGTGTAAAATGCCAAACTAGTCCCTCAACTTACATAGAGTCATTTTAGTGTCATAATTTGTTAGTGTCAAATTAGTCCATAGCCCTAAAATTGGAAAAATTATTCCATCAGGGCACCGAACACAAAATTTGCGTCCGGAGTTAAGTGATCATGTGCCATGTGGGAAGTGGGTTTCACCCCTCTTAAAAACTTAACCAACCAGTGTAGTACAGTGCGGCCCACTTGCCATTTGCCTACTGGACTCCGGACTCAAATTTGTGTCCGGTGTCCTGTTGGAATAAACACTCCTGTAATTGGGTCTGAAAATAGTCCTCCGTGGGCACTATTTCAGTTTATATTAAAAAAATTTTGAGAACTAAAGTGACACTTGTTGTATAGACTTTGGGACTTAAAAGACCTGCAAAGAGTCGGCAATCTATTTTGACACTTCTTTTCGGTTAGAAAATGATTGGTTTGTAAATTATTAAGATTCGAATGAAGATGCATAGAAACTGTCGCCACCACTACCATTTTTATCATTCTAACATTATCTCAGAATCGCCCTTTTGATCTGAAATAACAAATTTTCATACTCTCAGGTACAAATCCTGGTCGGATGCCTTAAATAACATCTGGAAGGCTGAGGGTCTGAATGGACTCTTCAAAGGCAGCGTCCCAAGAATAATGTGGTATATTCCAGCTTCTGCTCTCACATTCATGGCAGTCGAATTTCTCCGCGATAATTTCAATCAGAAGTCAGTCTCTCGCGTTCATGAAATCAGTAGCATTTCAATCGAGCCGAGCTCGAAAATTCACAAAAAAATTCACGAAAAAATCCACGAAACTGCTCGGTGAATACTGCAGACCTCTAGCTTCATAGTACTGCTCTGTTTTTCAGCAGGCACGCTTCAAAATTTTTTGTTCTATTGAAGATATCAGTTAAATGCAGTAGTTTGAGATTTATGATTCTTCTCTTTGTAGAGTCTAAGCTGTAAGAAATTTGCTGGAATGACATTCAACATTTTAAACTTTTTATGTGATGAACTAGTTTGTTTTTTTTATTATTTAGCTTGGTTCTTAACTTTTTTTAAGCTCACAATTAATATTGATTGATTAACATTAATTTTGAGTCAGACACATGGATCAGATGGAAGATTTATGTACATATCACTTAATTTCTATGTATATACATCTTTAACTGAACATCCAACTTAGAAGTCTAAATAGTACTGTTTTTAATGTGATATGAAAGATTTGAGTGGTATAAATGTAAAGAGTATAGTTTTGATAGTAGATATGTATATACATAGGAATTAAATGGTATGTCTTGAAATGCCCCTAATAAAAAACATTACTCCCTGTTGGCACAATATTCAGTTATTTTGATATTTCTGAATCATATTCGCTTTTCTTAAAATGAGATAATTGTGCATGCTAAAACAGTTAATTAATAATTACCAAATATACATAGTGAATAATTTGTTAATTTGATGATGATAATTGTGTCAAAAAAAAAAAAAAACCTTCTAGTGCTATTTGATAAATCACTGATCAACTTATCAATCAACATGTTATTTCAAATTTATTATTAATATCTTTATTAATGCGTAACTTGGCTTGTTCTTATATATATCTTAATTTTATTTTTCTCTGAAAAATTAATAATTTTTATAATATATATATATATATATTATAAAAATATCTTAATAATTGATGCTGATCATTGGTGCTATTGCGGTGTTATTTGAGTTGTTTTGAAAGGTCATTGAAGCGGAACCGCGGTGTTATTCGCATGGTACTCCGGGCGGTGTTATTGGCGCTGTTCACCGATGGTATTGCAATGTTATTGGGGTTGTTTTATAATAAATGTGCTCAATAATACAAGCGACAAGATTTTATTGGAGCTTGGACGTAGAGTTGCGAGTATTCATTAATGAGTTGAAAGAATGGCAAATTTACATACATAAACACCCAATCCTTATATATTTACATTTATAAACACTTTAAATTTTTATTATCACTTAATATATGTTATTATTGTTTACTTATAAATAAAATATAAGATTTTCATTCATAGATTTATGATTGTAAGTATTATAAATATAATATAAAAATATGTGTTGGATGTATAAATATAAAGGAGTACAAATTTTTCTCTAATAATTTATAATGTAAGAATATTATTAATTAAAAAAAAATTATATGGTATGCGTGCAAATTTTAATTTATAAATATAAATTATGTGGAAAATGCTAACTATATAAATACATAAAAATTCCTTATTATAAATTCCGCAAAAAAAACACAGTATTACATGATAGCATTCATGTTTAACATGCAAGACAGGACTGCAAGCAATGTGGAGAAATCACCGGCTCCGATTCTATTATCCGAAACTTCTTTTCTCCTCAACCACCGCGTCCGGCGGTGGCGCCACCTCTATGCCGGACTCCGAGATCCCGGTCCTCTACTCCTTCCTCCAACCCTCCATCTTCGCCCTCCGCAAAAACCCTAAGCCATCTCCCCCCTCACAACCTACTCCCCGCAGAACCCTAATGCAGGTCGATGCCTCGTCTCTCGAATCCGCTCTTGAATCCTCCCTTCTCTCCAATGACACTGAGGAGGCATGGCGGTCCTTCAAAACCCTAACATCTTTATCACGTTTCCCCTCCCCAGTTCTCTCTGCTTCCCTCATCTCCCACCTTTCCGCTCTGAACAATCGCCTCAGCCTCAAGCGCGCCTTCGCTACTTCCATCCTTCTGTTAGAAAAGAACCCCGAATCTCTATCCTTCGAATCCCTCGAGATTCTCTTTTCCTCTCTCGACGCCGCCGATGCTTCTGCCCCGGCTCTCTCTTTGGTCAAATCTTTGCTCAAAAACCGATTTTTCGCTCCATTTTCCATTTGGGGTCGTCGCCTGCTTCGTCTTACGAGGAAGAATGGTGGGTTTGAGGCGTTTTTGAACGTTTTTGAGGATAGTTGCAGGGTTGCTCTTGTGGAAAGGATTGACTTTATGAAACCTGATTTAGTTTCTTGCAATTTGGTACTGGATGGGTGTTGCAGAGAGTTGAGTTGCGTTGCTTCAGCTGAGAGGGTTTTACAGACGATGTCTGCTATAGGTTTGGCTCCTGATTCTGAGAGTTTTGGTTCTCTTGCCTTTCTGTATGCTTCAAAAGGCCTTGATGGAAGGATCCACGAGCTCGAGAAGTTGATGGATGCATTGGGGCTTGATGACAGGATGGAAATCTTTAGAAATCTAATCAGCGGGAATGTGAAATTTGGAAACTTGAAGTTAGTCTCTTCAGTTATTTTGAGTGTCCTGAAGGAAACGAAATGTAAAGATCTCACCTTTATTGGAGACTCTACCTTTGCTGAGCTGACAAAGGAGTTTCTTAACAATGGTGGGATTAAGGAGCTTGCTTCTCTGATCATTCAAACACAGGAATTAGAATCATTAAAAGACTCCCCTGTGGAGGCAGAAAACTCTGCTGGATTCGGGATCATCAATGCCTGCATTAGCCTAGGATTCTTAGAGAAGGCACACAGTATTGTGGATGAGATGAATTCTCAGGGAGCTGTTGTAGGGCTTGGAGTCTACTCCTCCATGCTGAAAGCTTACTGTAAACTTCAAAGAACAGCAGAAGCAGCTCAGCTTGTTACTGAAATAAGCTCCTCTGGGCTTCAGCTTGACTCTGCCAGCTATGATTCATTAATAGATGCTTCAATGTCTGTTCAAGATTTCCAATCTGCATTTTCTCTCTTCAGGGACATGAGGGAGGCCAGGCTGCCTGAACTTAAAACAAGCTACATCACCATTATGACCGGATTGATGGAGAACAACAGGCCTGAGCTCATGGCTTCCTTCTTAGACTCTGTAGTTAATGACCCAAGAGTAGAAATTGCCACTCATGACTGGAACTCCATCATCCATGTCTTCTGTAAGGTTGGGAGATTAGAAGATGCTCGAAGGACTTATAGGAGGATGCTGTTTCTGAGGTTTGAGCCTAACTTCCAGACTTATCTATCCCTCATTAATGGCTACGTCTCCTCTGATAAATACTTCAGTGTTTTATTACTTTGGACTGAGGTGAGGAGGAAAGGGATCAGTTTTGATCATGATTTGGTGGATGCGTTCTTATATGCTTTGGTTAAAGGAGGGTTTTTTGATGCGGCAATGCAGGTGATCGAGAAGGCGCAGGAACTGAAGATATTTATTGATAAGTGGAGGCACAAGCAGGCTTTCATGGAGACTCATAAGAAGCTGAAGGTGCAAAAGCTGAGGAAGAGGAATTTTAGAAAAATGGAAGCTTTGATTGCCTTCAAAAACTGGGCTGGTCTCAATGCATGAATCGATGGATGTCTGATCTTGATTCATGGATAATTAGTTTATTGAAGAAGGAAATACTGGGTCAAAGATTCTGCCTTTTTGAGCCCAATTTGATGTGAGATTAGGGCTTTGAGTCTTCTTTGATCATGTATTTTAGCAGAAACTTCTGGTGAGCTTCATATGTTCATCACTGAAAAATGGATGCAGAAATAGGCAAATTAGGTGCAAACTTCAGCTGTAGATCCTCCCACACCTGCTAATAATAGTGAAGTATTTGGCTATCCGCTTCTTTCTGTGCATATATTAAAGAGAAAAAGAGAAATTTACTTACTTACCACACAATTCTGGTAGATTTACATATATAACACCTGAAGTTTGATATTTACATTTTTATCACCAAGTAGCACCTTGGTGCTATAAACTTATGCATAACAGGTGCATTTGTCTTTTATAAAGTTAGTAAATTGATATTTTTGATGTGATGTTAAAGATTTGAGTATTATAAATGTAAATTTTAAGGTTTAGCATTTAAATTTGTAAAAACACGAGAACTGTGATTTGTAACTCCTTTTTTTTAAGTTATGCAACTCTCAATTTTTTTTATATTTATAATCATTAAATAACCATAATAATCATGAGAACATTAAAATAATCATTGTGAGCTCTATAATTCATCTCTCACATGACATGCTCCATATAAATGCAACTTTGAGTATGTTATATCCCTACATTTGTAATAGATGTACATAAAGGACCCATCTTAATACTCTTAATGTCATCATTTTTAGATTGCCTTTGAGCTATTTCATATTGGTGTTCATACAATTATTTAGAAGTGGACTCTTCTTAGTCTATAAATTATAGAAGATCTGTTACTGAGTTAGGCTTTGTGTTTACATGATAAAGTTGTTTGTTGGGCATAATCATTTGTTTTGATGACTTTGATGACGTGCATTGGCTTTATAAGCTATCACATATGTCGATGTTGTTAGAGATGGCAGGCGACAAAGAAAGAGGGCATTGACATTGGTGTCAATGCTATGCATTGACTTTATAGTATGTGATGATATAAATTGGTATTGATGGCATTGATACGTGATTAAGTTAGCAAATAACAGTTTTGGTTTCGACAATGTGCATCTACCTTATAAGCAGTCATATGTGTCAATGTTGTTGGGGATATGTAGTGATAAAGTTAGTGAATGTAGTGTCAGTGTGAATAACGTTCATGGGTTGGTTAAGTAATGTGGTGCATCTATGTTTTTGGCTACATATATTCATCAAAGTTGAGGGGCACCACAATTGACCTCAATAATATATATATCTATATATATATATATATATAGATATAGACAGTCCAAATGCGAAAGCTAGGCGATTACAGTTGGACAGCGACAATTCAATAATGTAGAGCTCTGTCAGTTTACCCTTGGATAAAGATTGAGAGCTATTTATAGATTTCTAGAGTGATATTTTGAGATTATCTTTGTGAGCATCTCAAACTACTTCATTAAATAGCCCAAAGCAATCCCCTTGATCACATGACATTTTTTTATTTGAGCTTTTTAGAACAAAAAAAATGAAGGAACACTGATTTTCAATTAATGTCATCTTCTATCATGCTTCGAGCACTTATTGGGGCTCATTCGAAGTAACAACTTATCACTTTTGATGTTGATTAATTTATTTATTAAGGCATTCAATTTGATTATAAATTTATTCTAAAATTTAATTTTTTTCAAGTTTTCAATTGATATATTATATTGAGATTCTTTATAGATCTAGAATATATTTTATTTTAAAAATAAAAGTTTAATAAAAGTATTTAAAATAATTTTATTATAGGTTAGAATTTTAAAATAAAAAAATAAAAAAATATAAATATAAAAATGATCAAATTATTCAAAAGTTACAGATCGTCCCAAATTTTAATATTTACAAATTATTCACTCTGATGTGTGCTAGAAGGTTCACGACGATAAAGTAAGAAAATATCGTCTTTGCGTTGCACGAAGATTCAACACACGGATAAAAAAAAGTGGGTAGAGACACTAGAAGTTCTTACGTAGAAAAACTGTAAAGAAGAAACCATGAGTATGACCCAGTTGTAAAAATTCATTATAAGTTATTACAGAAACCCCTTTCTCACAGTCGGGAAATTGTTTAAAAGTATTCCGAATTACATTATTGAGGTGTGGATGAACTTATTGCAAGGAACGGACGGTGGCCATTAGGGATCGGATGTAGCAGACAGGTGATGGCCGACAGAGGTCGGCGGTGGTTGACTGAGACATGAGTGATGTTGGACTTCAGCTCCTCCTCAAAACTTCAATCTCTTTCTCAATTCTCAAGCTCTGTCCTTGCCACCCCTCATGAGAGGGGTGGAACTTTATTTATATCGCTTTGGGTGTAATTAATGTAGGAATATGAACCATTTTGATCGAACTTTGGGTGTAATTAATGTAGGAATATAAACCATTTTGATCGGACGGCTCAGAGGATTTCCCTTGATGAGATGATGTTTGATAAAAAATTGAGTGCATTAATGTTGTCGAAATTGAGTGATCTTCGGACGGCTCAGAGGATTTCCCTTGATGAGATGATGTTTGATAAAAATTTGAGTGCATTAATGTTGTCGAAATTGAGTGATCTTGGGCTCAATGGTTTCGTCTCGTCGAGACTTTTGATTCACCTATAAGCTTATCAAATTTGACAATTGTTCGACCTTTCAAATATGCTCGAAAAGCTTTCAAGAATGGTTTAATGACTTGACCTAAGCTTGATTTTACTCGAAATGGATTGATTTTGGTGTCATTAAGTCCGTCTCGTCGAACCGGTCAGTTTGACTATAAGTTTGCTGAAATCGAAGCTCTGAATGACTCTTAATTAAAGTTTGACAATTTCTTACTCAAAAGATTGTTCTAAATATAAGCTATGTCTCCAAATTCATATTATATGATGAAAATTTGTTGATAGCTTATCAATTGCCCCCTTATTTTTGGGCGAGTCCAACATTATTGTCTAAAAATACATAGCATTTTTCATGATAAATGTTGGCATCTATTTTTTATGCAACACTACATGATATCTTTGTCGAGTGACACATGACCGTTTTGGGAAACGTACATGATTTGCCGTGACTTGAGAAGTCGTTAAGACCTTTAAGCGAATGCTCCGGGCATTATAATTGGAGTCTGCACCATCATGAGCGTGCTCCAAATCGATCGTTATTGAGTTGATGTCGCTCTCAGCTTCTTCTGTGTTCATGTTCAATTCGACTATAAACTTACTAAATCCAACAACTGTTTGACCTTCCAAACATGCTCGTAATACTTAAAAAAATGATTAAATAATTTGACCTGAGCATGATTTGACTCGAATTGAATCAATTTTGATGCTGTTCGGTTATCTCATCAAAACAGCCAGTTTGAATGTAAGTTTACTATGATTAAAGTTATGGGTATCTCTTAATTAAAATTTAATTATTTCACTTAAAAGGTTATTTCAAAATGTGTGCTATAAATTGAGATTCGTGCAAGATGATATCAATTTGTTAACGGCGTATCACACACAGATAAAATTTTGAACTACTGAATCGATATATTTACTACTGTTCCTTATCGTAACTCGCTATATTTCCGTCGACCCTCGGCTCTGACTCCGAAGCATTGGGCGGCGTTGGTATTCTCTTCCTCCGACGTCGGCGGCGTCTCCGCTTCTTCTTTCTCTATCTCCCCCGTCTTCTTTGCGAGAGTGGTCGATTCTTCCTTCTTCAGGGAAAGTTAAAGATTCTGTTTATTGGATCCTTTACTTTCCTTAGCCTGATGCCAATGGACTACGACGATTCCTTCGAATGCTCTCCAGAAATGGTGGATTTTCTTTGCGAGAGGTTGCTGGACCAGAGGCAGCCCATTGCCGAGCGCTTCAGAGCTCTCTTTTCCCTACGTAATCTCAAAGGTGATCGCCCTAGGGAAGCCCTCGTAAGCGGTACGGTTCCAAAGCTTCTTTCGATCATGAATCTGTTATTTTTGAGTGCTTCAGTGATTTTTTTTGTTGGATTAAATTAATGGTAACTGGTCGATTTAGTTTGGGCTAGCATGTTTTCCTTCCATCTCTTGATTTTCGGTGCATGTTTTCCTGTTTCTTTTTGCTGTCAAAGTTTGATATGGAAACTACATAATTGCATAACTATAATCAAGAGATGGAATTATAACACATAACTTGCGGTTTTGGGATGATCAAGTTGAGAATGTTATGCGTGGTAGTCCACTTCCTGTTCAGCATTCATAAATACAATCCATTGGAGTATTTAAGAGCATGCAATCACTCGCTTCCTTGTCGACATGTACTTTGGAGGTCTACATTAGAGTCTAAAGGCTTTCTTTTGAGTAGATCTAAAACTAAATACATGGAATGTAATTTTAGTAGTAGTAGATATTAGTAGTAGATATAGCGTCAAGCCGTAACAATGGGTGATAAAATTATTAAATAGTGTGAATGTTTTATAGGGGTTTATTGTTCAAAGTAATGGTGATTTAGATGGGGATGCTATCAGTAGATGTTAAGTTGGATGGTTAAGTGGAGGAATGCACCGGGCCTATCGTGTGATAAAAAAGTACCGCTTAGAATTAAAGAAAAAATTTATAAGATGATGGTGAGACTTGCAATGCTTTATGGAGCAAAATATTAGTCTATAGTTAAGTGTGTTTGAGATGAGAATGCTTAAGTAGATGAGTGGCCTATTGGCTTTACACATAAAAATGCGAAATGAATAATCTTTGAAAGGGTTGATGTAGCTCAAGCGGTAGAAAAAAATTAGAAATGGTCATCTTAAATAGTTTCGTCACATTAAACATTGACCATCTGATTATCTGGCTAAGATACTATATGCTCTAGATTCAAATTTTGTTAAGAACAATAGAGGCAGACCTAAAAAGACTCGGGCATATTGTATACAAAAACGATCTTAGTTTATTAGAATTAAATGAAAATATGACACTCAATAGGACAATGTAGAAAAATGATTAAAGTAGCCGGCCCAACTTTGTGGGATAAAGGCTTGTCGTTGCTGTTGTTTCATGAACTCAATATGGTATGATTTCTTTGTCTTATCCTTTTATTGCCTTTGATTCCATTCTTAATAACTCTTGGATAATATATTTAAGAGCTATTGATCATATGACTCATTATGTTATCAAATTCATTGTCTCCAAGTCTCTTACCTTTGTTCTGATAATTGAAATTTTTTTATACCAGATGATTTGTCTATAACTATTGTTGACTAAGGAATAAATTCTATACTCATATTTTCCCACCAAAGAATATTTTGCATGTTCCAAAACTATCCTACGATTTTATATTATTTAATAATATCGGCACAAACATGAATTGCAAAATATTCATCTTCTCTTCTCATTATTTTTTTGGGATCGGACAATGAGGAGGGCTTTCGGATTTGCTAGGGAGAAGAATGTGTTATTATTATTATTATTATTTTGAAGAAGTGAATAATGTCAAAGGAAATCACCACTTCCTTACTCATCAAAACCTTCATCTCACAATTTTTTTTAGATCTGACCTTAGCTTCTGTGCTTTGGACTTCTCCCTGTTGATCTTTCTTTAAAATATTCTCCCCTCCCATTTAAAAGTCATATTGGTACTTATCCAATGTTATTAGAAGCACACTTCAAAACTTGTTTTGCGATCAAACAAAGCAATCAAATGGTCTGCATATCTCTTGTTTATGAAGGGTAAGCTTGTGCAAGTGCAACACAACTTTGCATCATAGCACTATGCGCTTAGCTCTCGCCTAATATCCTATTTTGGTTTTTATGTTTTTTCAACATATGCAGCAAGAATTTGACGTGAATGTTTGTTTCTCAATTTTTCTCATAGTCATTTAGTTGATTTGCTTATTGATTTGTTCTCTCCCAATGGATCTAGTCTTTTCTTTTCATTGTCTCTCTACTGCTAATTTTCTTGCTAGTTTTTATTATTAGTGTTAGTGGTTTCTCACGTATAGTTACATCTTATCCCAAGTATGGAGAGTTAGAAGCAATTACAATATGGATATAGATTGCTAATAAAACAATAAAGAACACTTCTTTTTATGTGGTTTGATTCCAATTTGGCTCTTCCACAAATAGTCACCACTGAGTTAGGGATTTAACTACCACTAATTTTTGCACAAAATCCTTTGCTCATTGAGCCAACGGTTAAACAATCTCAATCATAATTATACACTCTTTAACATGCAAGTGCTACCTAGTATACTTTGCAATGAAATAATTAATTGTTTTGAGAGCTGGAAAAATCCAATATATATATATATATATATATATAATTACCAGTTTAGTAATGGAAATATAAGTAACTTTGTTAGATTGCTTTGGTCATCGAAAACCGAAGCTTTTGTAATGAATTTTTGACATTGGCCCATGCTCTTCATTAGCGCAGTTTTCTCTGATTGCTTGGAATGAGAGATTTAGATTCAAAGGGGCTAAGAAACATTTTCAATGGGATTTTAACATTTTGATAATCTTATGAAGGTCTATTAAGTCTAATAGCAGCATTACTATTTCTACGGGCTCAATAGTCAATAAGAAGTGTTTGAGAATGATTAGTTTTCATGTATAAAGTTACCAGCTGTTACATTGTAGATTGCAGGTTAGTAGTAACATGCTAAATGGTTTGTGATTACTCACAAGCTTTGTTGATCTTGCAAACAATTTAGCCTCTATTTGTAAATGGCTGGAGAGTGATATTTGTGGATGGTTATCCAATTCATACATAAGAAGGTTTGTGGTGACTCATTGCTTAGAAACAACCCATTAACTTTTTTACGATGATCTCTTTATTCAATGCTGTAATTTTTGTTTGTATAATTATATCTTCTACTTGATTCATTGCTTACATGACAGGTGGATTCGAAGTAAATTGATTGCTGAATTGGTGACAATATTTAAATAATTATAGTAAAAAATCTTTGATTTTATTTCAGCAAGCTTAATTGAAGGGTCATGGTACTAGATGGATATGAATTTACACGCTCAAAATAAAATACAAGATTCAATATGCTATGTGTTTCATTTGTGCTTAAGCTTAAGTTAATCCTCTATGACTTCATGTTTCATGGTCATTGGATTCTATCCCTTGTTTAATTAACCATACATCATAATCTTTGCATCCTATATGTGGATATTACTTCATTTTGGGCTTTCTGCTTTACACTTTTTACATTGAAGCAAAAAGGACCCTTTGCACATTACATTGTCCATAGCACTTTGACAACTTTGGCTTGATCCTATAGTCCTATTTCTCTAATACACATTATCTTATGGGGTCCTTCTCTAATTCTAAATATCTATGGTTGCCAAAGGTTTGTGTAGTTTATTGATTATTGCATTTGAATTATTTTGTCTTTTCTGATGATTGTTGCTTCAATTTTACATGAAACCTCTCATTCTATGAGGAATTTCTCATCTATTTTTTTATTTTCCTTTTTCTCTGCACCTCTTTGTTCTTACACCTATGCTATATTCATCCAATTCCTGTTGCGCTATTTTGACTCTCCATTGTAATTTATTTCTAGATAAACTTTTAGTTTGATATTTTCCTCTTGTTTCTTTTGGGCGTCCATTCGATGACTAGCTGGAATATTTGAAGCTTTTGGGAGAGATATTTTATTCGGTGAATGGATTGATTTGGTCACTTTTAACCATATTGAAAAATCAATTTTGTTATAACGGGTATAATCCTGCTACTGTAGGAATTCTTCTTTTTTGGAACTGCTTTTTGCATGGATTCTAATTTTCTATTATTCTCTTAATGATTGAAGAATCACTGAACTCCAGATTTACTTGCTTTAACTTGTGAAAGAAATAATTGAATATATGTACAAATAAGTAGTTCTGCAAAAAAAGCTCATTTGTCAGACCTATGTTACTGGATTTTTTTTTTTTTGGAACTTCTAAAATTTTAAGACTCAGAATTAACTGTAATGCTGAGAAACTGGGCTGGGAAGAATTAGAAAAGGATGGATGGAAGGAGTTGGATGGGCGATTCAAATTCCTTGCAATTGAGAAATTAGAGGATCCATAAAATTTGGAAGGGAGAAGTGTCAAAATGGTCTCTTGATTCTTTGCAAGGAATCATTTTAGTCCCATAGTTTAAAAGAGTGTCAATTCAGTCCCTAGAGTCTTTTAATATCTGTCACTGGACTATTCTAGCTCCCGTTAAAAGAATCGAATGACTAATTTTACATTTTTATAAACTCGGAGACTAAAATGACCCATATAAATAGTCAAAGTGACTATATTGGCACTTTATTCAATTTTGGAACAAGCATCATTTGAATTTCTGCACATCTGCTGTCATGATACTTTTGCAGTAATGTTAATGATAGTTTCATGGATGTTCTGTGACATGAAAAAAAATCACGTTGACAATTAATTAAAATATTTCTTCAATAATAATATACATGGAAAAATTTTTGCCATATAATGTTGTGGAAGCTAAAAGTGGGAATTTAATTTCTTAGCCAAGGACAAGATTTCTCACAATGTTTCCTACTTTGCTTTCAGCTACAAGAGATCCTTCAAATTTACTTGCACATGAGGCCGCATTTGCTCTCGGTCAAATGCAGGACACAGAGGCCGTTCCTGCATTAGAAGAAGTTCTCAAAGATCTTTCATTACATCCTATTGTTCGCCATGAGGTTTTTTTTCTCTTCATCAGTAATATTCTGCATGGTCATTATTACATTTTGAGCCTATTAACTGATTTTATTTGCTAGGCTGCTGAAGCTCTTGGAGCAATTGGTTCAGAGGGAGTTATTACACTGTTGAAAGATACTTTGATTGGAGATCCTATACTTGAGGTACAAGAAACATGTGAATTAGCTCTTAGAAGAATCATGGAACAGAAAAGCATTAATGGAGGTGAAGAAAGAACTTCTAAAGCCTCACCATTCCATACTGTAGATCCCGCCATACCTGCTTCCCTTGATTTTTCAGTTGATCAATTAAGGTATTTTCAAATGAATGATTTTTTCAAATCTCTTATTTTATATAAGAAGCTTTTTAACCTATTCCACTTCTTGCTTAAGGGAAGTTCTCCTCAATGAAGAAGAGGGGATTTATGAGAGGTATTCTGCTTTATTTGCACTTCGGAACCAAGGCAATGATCCTGCTGTAAGAGTCATCATTGAATCCTTAGGTGCTAGAAGTGCTCTGCTGCGACATGAGGTTTCTAATTTATTCAACATATTCTAGATTTAATTTTTTTCTGTATTTTTCTTAAAGTTAGCTTAATATCTAGATTGAGTTTGGCTCATTTGGGAAACAATTGAGTTGAGCTCGAATGAGATTAGTGGTTTTTCAGTGCAGAAGTCAAAATCAATTGGTTTATACTCGTTATAGGGTTTTTGTTTCTCAGAAGGATAAAGCTCTGTATGGTTTCAAATTTGATTTTTTGAACTTTTAAGCATCTTGAATCTGAATAGAAAGACTAAATTCATTCATTCTGCTCTACATCATTATGGCTGTTGGAGGTTATCAACAATATCACAGAACTACATGATATTTGAGTAATTTTTATATGTTATGATTAATGTTCTTGGTTGTGAATTGGGATGCACAGACACACAGACACACAGACACACACACGCACAAGCATGTTATCCCGTTCCACCATGCCAATCCAATGCCTTGTAATTAAAGGTATAATTTTCACTCAACCCCAAAGAAATGCAAGCCATTTTCAAAGTTCACTAGCCCATGAACTTTCTTGCTGGACCCTCACAAGGGCTGTACTGCTGTAATTAACAAGTTTTATTCAATTCATTCTCACCACCACCACGACAAGAAGCCTTTATCCCACTATATGGGGTCGGCTTTTCAATCCATTACCATCTTAATTAATTTATTGATTGTTTAGAACTTCAAATAGAGTACAAAAACATATTTCAACAATCATCTTGCTTTTATGCACTACCATTAAACTTTAGTAATAGGAAATTCCAATTTTATGCTTTAAGTGTATAGAACTTCTATGTTTTTAGCTAGAAAGAAACATAACAGAAGCATAACAAAGCTGCAAACAAAAATGACTAGAATTACTATAATCGCTGAACTAAAATTTTGTGCATACTCGGTAAATGAAACCAAGCTTTAAAACCCTGATAAATCTAAATATGCTTTGGAGAATAATTATCCAGCAAGCAAATCAGATACACAATACAATATCCATGATTGTGTGCATTAGAATCTACCTTTCCGGCAACCATTTTCACCAAAATAGATTTGTCCAACTGAGCTATCAAACACACCTACTAACTCATTGATTTTATCTGAAGGACTTTGGGGTTCATCCCCAAACGGTAAATTTTCTTCTCCAAAGGAGCCAAGCCTTTTCCTTTTCCTGCCATCCAATTGTAATCAGACGGTTTCAATTTGATTTAGGTTTAATTTTAACATTTTATATATATGTTACTAATAATATAAACTTTATTTGTTATATTTAGTTTCGTATCCTTTATTAGAAAACTGCATTTGCTTATTAAAATAATTTTTATTGGGCGACGAGACTCCATTTGGTAAACAGGGAGATGTTTCTTACCTTAGATTTTGGTAGGATTCTTAATTGAGCTTGATTTCTTCCACTGAGTTTCTATTCAGAGATGATGCATGCCGTGAGATTACTCAGAAATCATCGCTTATTAAAGTACCTAGTACATTGATTAGCCTTTTGTCCTCTTCTAATGTGTGATGTTTTGCTGCGAAAACCTCTAGTGCCAAAGCAATGGCAGCTTTAGTACTAAAGAAGATGAGGTCATTCTAGCTAGTTCTCATGCGAAACAAGCTTAATAAATGTTAAAGCTCAAAATCAGCTATAGTCATATAAATATATTATTTACTGCCATTTAGGTTTTTTTAATATTAAATTATTTAATAAACTGTTGCATGAATGATTCATAAAGCCGACCTCAAATAGTTGGGATGAGAAGAATTGAATGTCTTGCTGGCATCTTTTTCCTTTTGTGATTCACAAACAGCATACAGTTGATTGAAGGAATAGATAATTTGGTATCTGAGGGCGAATGATATCAAGTGTTTTTGTGAGAAGGAAACTTAGGTTTGGATATAAAATGATGTAGCTTATTTTCTTTCAATATTACCTGTTAATTACCCATGATAGTCGGAATAAAATGAATGTGATATTTCTAGCTTAACAGTGTTTTCCTTCTGTCTAAGAATAATAAAACTTTTCTCATTGCCAAACCCAAATATTTCGAATCAGACAGGTGGTATTTCTAGCTTGTCATTTTTCTCCTCTGTAATTCCCAAGTAGGTTATCACATGATCGAATATATAGATATTTTGGTAACTGATACTGAGAAGTAACTAATGCAATAATCTGATTTCAAATGCAATGTTTCTACTGGAAATTCTCTGGGGGGAATTGGTGTCCTTTGGAAGCTTTAGATGATTCATCACAAAGCATTCATGTTAGAGGAGAAGATTGCAATTTTTTTTTATTTTTTTAATAATTATCTTACTGTTGCACGTATAAAAATTTTGAGGCATTTACATACATACCGCCCAATCCCTATATATTTACATATCTAACATCTAAATTTTACTTTTTATATTTATACCACCCAAAATTTTCATCTGACGTAAAAAATAACACCTTTTTAACAGGTGAAATGCACCTTTTCATGCATAGGAATTGATTTAAATGTATGCAACTCTTTCAATAATTTTTGGCTTATATTACTAATGGGATTGTCGTTGGAATTTTTTTTTTTTTAAAGTTGGCCTTAGGTTTTTCATTTTTCATTTTGCTTGTGGTTTTGTTGATGTGATGTTACCTACCACCAAAAATATTTCCTTTCATTTTTAAAACATTCTGATTTATGATGGAAGAGAACTAGGGGTATGCACATTTTCCTTTTGGTTTCTGTTACGATTACTTGATAAATTATAGGGAGATTTACATACATGCTACCCAATTTCTCTTTATTTACATATCTAACACCTAAACTTGAATTTTTACATATGTGTCACCTTACCTATGAATGAAAAGATGTATTCACTTTTTAAAAGTAAAGCAAGTGATATTTTTTACATGTGAGTTGAAACATTTGGGTGGTTTAAATGTATTTAAACTAGATGTTAGATATATAAATACTTAAGAATTTGGTGGTATCTATGTAAATGCCCCATTCTGAAACTAAAATCAGATTGTAGTTCCTATCTTTCAACGCCAAATTTTTGACACATTTTCTCATGCTTCAAAGAAATGAATGAAAATGCAGGTTTTAAATGAATTGGCTACCTCCAAGTATTCAGAAGAGGATTTTTCATTTTTTTTGTTTTAATTAATAAACAAATGGATATTTTATTCTGCATTCAGGTTGCATATGTATTGGGCCAACTTCAACATAAGATGGCCGCTTCAGCATTGGCTGATATTATTAAAAATGTTGATGAGCATCCGATGGTTAGACACGAAGCTGCTGAAGCACTTGGTTCCATCGCAGGTAAATTTCTATCTGTTTTCTACATCATGGTCTAGAGTTCGCCATTAGCTTATTAATTTAGGAAGATTTACATACATACCACTCAATTCTTATGTATATACATATCTAGCATCTAAATTTCAATTTACACACACACACACAGATATCTATATATATATATATATATATGAGAGTGCAGATTGAAGAACAAGTGATCCTAAAAGTGAACAAATTAATTGAAGTTGTTTTCATTTGAGAGGAGAAATATCCTTCCTGACTAGCCAGTGCTGCACCGGTTAAAAAGAAAAGGGTGCAAATACGTGTGTTTATAGATTTGATAGATCTTAACTTTTTGTATATAGTATTTTCTTGAGTAAGAAGTCACATTGTCCAAGATATTCCCCTTTTTCTTATGCTTTGCCCTTTCTTTTTGATCTATAGTTTGAAATGTATTTTGACCATTGTTTTCTTCAAAATCTTCCGGGTCTTACTCTGGCTACTGGGACCCGCACTGATAGGAGTTTTGCTTTCTTACGGAAAAAAAATTATCCTTTGAATTTCTTTTTTTCTTTTGATTCGCACTGAAAACTCCCCAGGGCCGTCACAAGGAAAACTAGAACCAAAATTTTATCTGACATTAAGTTGGAATCACGCGCATCTAATGCATCTTTTACTAAACTCAATTTAGTCGTATGTAAACCCAGAGCAATAACATGATGAACCAAGAAAATAGTGGTACTTTTGATATGACATGAAAGAATTGGGTGGTATACATGTAAACAAATAAATTTTGTGTTAAATATGTTAATTGTGTTAAATATGTTAATATATAGGAATCGGGCGGTATGCATGTAAATGCCCTATTTCTAAAATTTTCAAGCTCACCAATGAGCTTGCTTATTGTTTTCATAGATTTTTCATCAATGCTCTTTATTTTCCATCATGTTATCAATCAAATATTTTTTTTCTTCTTTTGAAGGTTTACGTATATTGAGATGATATGCTATTTTTCACTTGTTTGTGCTATAGATAGTGAAAGCATTCAGCTTCTCCTGGAATTTGTAGATGATCCTGAACCTATTGTTTCTCAGAGCTGTGAAGTGGCTTTGAGCATGCTTGAGTTCGAACGTGCGGGCAAGTCTTTCGAGGTAACTCAAAATGATACCGCAAAATTTCTTTTTTCATATCTAACACTTAAAATTTGATATTTACATTCATAGCACTTTCATGTCATATAAACATTTGCAGGAAAATGTGCTTTCACTTGAAAAAAAATTAGTAATAATGGTGGTTTTGATATAGTTTTAATGCTTTGAGTGATATGTATGTAAATATGCATGTTTAGGGGTTAGATATGTAAATATACAAGAATTGTGTGGTATGTATCTATGTGTATGTATGTTTGTATGTATCTATATGTATGTATGTATGTATGTATGTATGCTATATATATATATATATATAAAAGAAAGTTTTTAAATGCTTTATTTAGTCTATGCTTTGTTTTTGTAGTTTTTGTTCATGGAGCCCCCTGAAGTCAAGTAGTTCTTCATATATATCTCTTGCAAATCTAGATAGTGGATATTTATGCCAGGAAAAATGGCAAGGAAATGCATTATTGTCTCACCAATAACTTGTTCCTCATCACAAAAATATATAACCAGAGATTGATAGAATTTTGGGAGCCATGACATGCACTGTCGGTCCCATTAACATATCTGATTATAAGGAATTGACATGGTGTGTACTGGCAGTAACACAGATTTTTTAGTTTTATTTTTATTTTGTATTTTGTATTTTGTGTTGACTTGTGTTCAGAAATGTATAAATATAAAAATTAATATTTCTATGTTCTATGAGCTCAACTGTAGTCAAACACTACTCTTTATCTGTATTGTGATGTATTGAAAATATTTGTAATGGTAGAATTCTGGTTGAGAGTTGATTAAAGGGTGTTAAAAATTGACCTGACATGCCAACTCAACCCGAACCCGACTCGAGAAATCTAGGTTGACTCACCAACTCTAGTTAACTCTAAATCGGTCTGCCAACCCGGAATTGACTTGAAATTGATCCAATTTTAATCCAAATGGCGGTTATTACTTATGTTAAATGGGTTTTTATTGGTATGGATCGTATTAATGGGTTGAAAGCAGATCAGTTTTGAGTTTTGATTTTTTACCCGTATAATATTATGGTTTGATTCAGGTCGAATTTATTTGTGTCCGAATTGCCTTGACCCAACAGACTGGTCTGAGTTGACACCCACCCTAAAAGTTGTCTTGTTTTTTATTATGAATGGTATAATTTGGTTTGAGTGAGTTGCTGCCTGCTTGGAAATTAAAATTTTTTGCTTTAAATTCAAGCGAAGTATTATTATTATTTAAAAATATTTAATTAATATTTATGTATTTGTATTTAATTTGTCAATTATTAAGGAATATTATATTATATTATATACCTCTCTATCAGTAAGTTGTATTAATGATAAAATTAATAAATAATTATTTCCTTAAAATTTGCGGGAGAGCGTTAGCATCTTGTATTAATATATATATATTTTAATGAGATTGAAACAAAGGTGTGCATCATAATGATAATTTAAGTGCTCACCACTTAATTCTTGTGTATTTAAATATATAACTTCTAAACTTTACTCTTTATATTTAGACCCCTTTCTTATCTTATAGAAATATCAATATTTTTAATTTTATGTTGACTATAACTTTTCATGAATAAATAAGGTATGATGTATGAGGACTATAGATATTAGCTATGTACATTAAGAATTGAGGGGTGGGTATGTAAATCTTATAAAAGAGGCATAATGTTATAGATATATATACAGAAAAAAATTATTGTTATGCTGTAAATTCTCATTTATTAAATGTTTGAGAAATTTCATGCATTTTTAAAATATTTAATTAATTTTAATTGTAAATATGTAAACATCACTTATAAGGCTATTAATGATCAGATTGAGTGCGGTTTGAAATTGACTAGTGACTCGTTATTTTGCATTTCGAGCGGGCTTGGTTTTAAATTGAATCGAGCGATCAAACTCAAAATTGAAACGAGTTGGTTCAAATTGAGTTGTTTTGGTTCATTTTAGCTCGAGATCAGCTCGAAATTGAAACTAGCTTGCTCAAATTAAGTGGTTTAGATTTATTTCAGCTCTAAATAGATTTGTGGCTCATTATATTAAATTTTTTTTAGCATTATAAATATAATTTTTATAAATAAAAATTTGATCCAAAATTGTAACTTCTCGATTTATTTATTTGAATACCATTTAAATTTAAGTTAATTGGAATCAATTTTTAAATAATTAATAATCTTAAAGCTAAATTCAATTTAAATTTCAGTTCATGTGTTAAATACCAAATAAAAACTCTCCATCCACTCAAAAATCAAAATGATATCTGCCGTAGTCCAACTGCTATGTGATTTGTTCTCCCAAAGCGGGAAGATAAAGCAGATAGCCGATTGAGCTCTCCTGCTCGCTCCGTGATTTCTTCCTCTCTCTCTCTCTCTCTATATATATATATCAGTGCAATCGCAAACAATGCCGGTGCTCGCAACAGCTACGATGACGGCGAGCTGCGGAAGTGCGGTGGCTTGTTTCAGGGTTTCGGGGGATGGATTCCCTCCTTTTCTTCCTAAAACAGTGGAGAGGATAAAAGATCCATCGGCGAGGGAGCTCGCTAAGAGAATCCAGAGGCTTCCGGTGAAGGTAAGAGATAGGATGCTGTAAGGCGAGGAATTGCTATGTTCTTTTATGTCGCGGTTCGAGATTAAAACTGGAATAATTCAAACCTGAAGACTAAGGCGCAGCTGATGCAGATTTTCGAATGTTGTTGATCTGACCCATTTCTAATCGTACTATTTGCTTGTATTAAACTTGATCCTGTTTCAATATTAAGAGAGATTAACCATTAGTTAGGTGCATCTAGTTGCTGTTTGGCTATTCGATTGTTACCGGTAGCTTAGTTCACTTAATTTTTATTTGTTTTTGATGCATGCCAGTAGAGTCACGGCTGTAGATTGATTATTTAGGGTCGCATGAAAATCAAATACACACATGTAATTGAAGAGTAAAGAGCAGAAGGAGATAATTTGACTTTTTACGAAGAAAAATCTTGATCATGAGAAAGAACCCTAGAGCCTAATATACAAAACTACTTCTCCAAAGTTAGGGAAGATGAAATTACTAAGTAGATGTATAACGGTATTTCAACAACAATAGTTGTAATAGGCTGTGAAAACCGTGGCCAATTGCTTAGGAGTCGTAGTCTGTCTTGAATGTTATTGTAGCAAGCTTGTTGTAGATTCTATAGTTGAAAGCCATGGTAATAGTTGGTCATGTGAGTTGTAGATGATTGCTTCGAGAGCGTCAGTTGATCATAGATACCGTAGTAGGGAGCTGCAGGACCTGTGACCCTCGTAAGCTGTAGTTGGTCGTATGAGTGGTAGTGTTGAGCTACAATAACGTTTGTTTGTCTTAAAAGTCGGAGTTAAGAGCTGCATAAGTTGTGATAAAGTTCGTAGGTCATAAAGGTTTGAGTTGGGAGCTGCACAAGTTGCGATAACGTCCATAGACTGTAGAGGCTGGAGAAGGGAACTACTTTAGCTGTGGCCTTGAGGCTGTAGTTGGTCACGTAGGCTTGAGTTGAGATAATATTCATAGGATGCAGAGACTGGAGTTGGGAGTTGCATGAGTAGTGGACCACATAAGTTATAGTTGGTCATTTACGTCATAGTAGTAAGTTGCGATAACGTTCGTTGACCATATATGTGTGAGTTAGGAGCTGCATGAGTTGAGATAACTTTCAATTCTTCCATGCTCTAATCTTCCTCTGGTTGAAGGTCTAGTTCCTCTCTCAAGAGAGGAGTACAACTCTATTTATAGAGTCTAATAGAAGTCTCGCTCTAAATAAGAAAGAAATCCAAACTACTCAATCGGACAATCCAAAAATGTTACTTTGATCAGATAGTATCCTGTGGACATTTGAGTACCTTAATGACGTCAGAATTAAGTGAACTTGGGCTTGTTGGATTCACCCAGCTTTCAAAAATAGCTTAACGATTCGATCCAGGCTTGATTTGACTCATATTATACTAATTTTGATGTCATTGTATTGATCTAGTCGAGTTGGTTAGTTTGCTGGAATCGAAGTTCTTGATAATTTTTTAATTAAAAGTTTGAACATTTCTTGCTAAAAAAATTGCCTTGACATTCTTGTCACGCCTCCAAATACCTGCAAGGTGATGGAAATTTGTTGATGATGTATCTTTTTGTAATCAGTTTTGAATTAATAGCCACTTCACATTGACTAAATACTAATCTATAAGAATTTATGCCTCATCATATAAGATTAGTTGATAATTGACTAAGGTGATGATCAAATTAAGCAATGTGATCCAACTGATAGGGAACATTTTCCTATATGTGAAGTTAAATAATAGTTGAGTTCTTAATATGCTAGTAGTGACTCTTATTTATTGACTTCAGCTCTTCAGTTGATAGGCTATATGTCAGTATAGTTGATTCAATTTTATCCCTTTAGTATTTTACCCTCCCACAAATTTGTATCAAAGTTGACGGTTTAATGAGATTCTACTAATTTATGTGGTTTATATCTCTTTTGATTTGTAGTGGTTTTTTCCATAGTCCATCAAATTTAGTTGGGGGGGGGGGGGGGGTTTGTGATTTTTGTGTGGAGGGGGTATTATTAATTTTGGATAACCAACTATATACAACAATAACAAAGCTTTAATCCCACTACGTGCGGTCGGCCACATGAATCCTTTTTCTACATTGCATCCTATTTAGTGTCATATTTTCATTTAATGTCATATTTTCATTAGTGTCATATTTTCATTTAATTCTAATAAATTAAGATCATTTTTTATACAATAAGCCCAAGTCTTTCTAGGTCTACCTCTGTCTTTCGTAACATAAGTTGAATCTAAAACATCTCCTCTTCTAATCGGATCATCAAATGGTCAACGCTTAATGTGACCAAACCATCTAAGACGACTTTCTCTAATTTTGTCTGTCACAGAAGCTACACCAACCCTATCACGAATATATTCATTTCGTATTTTGTCTCTAAGTGTAAAGCCACTCATCCACCTAATCATTCTCATCTCGGCAACACTTAACTTAGTATTATACTTCTCTTTTAAAGGCCAATATTCAGTGCCATAGAGCATTGCAGGTCTCACCACCATCTTATAAAATTTTCCTTTCAATCTGAGCGGTACTTTTCTATCACACAAAAGGCCCAAAGCATTCCTCCACTTAAACCAACCAACTTGAATTCTACTATTAACATACCCATCTATATCACCATCGCTTTGAACAACAGACCCGAGATATCTAAATCGATCACACCTTTTAATAATTTTATCACCCAAAGTTACACTTCCGTCACTAGAGCTACTACTGCTAAAATTACATTCCATGTATTCAGTTTTAGTTCTACTCAAATGAAGACCTTTAGACTCCAATGTAGACCTCCATAATTCAATTTTTTCCTGAGCTTTTTCTCTCGTCTTATCCACAAGAAGGATATCATCAACAAAAAGCATACACCAAGGTACATCCTCCGGTAAATGTCTGGTAAGACCATCCATAACTAAAGCAACAAGATATGGGCTTAAAGCCTATCTCTGATGTAAAAAGATATGGGATAACCAACTATATATAGAACTAAATATTTATGATTCCCTTTTTCTTCTGAAAATTATTAATTTTGTTTAGTTTCTCTCCGAGTCTAGAATAACTTCATAATGTGCCAAATATGTGGCTGAATAAAGGCAAGATTAATGGTGCGTTTGGGGCGACGGTGCAGTGACAATGCAGTGTTACACTGCAGTTTTTCTGTTTGGCAAAACTATGTTTTGCCTGATTTTAGCTGCGTTTTGCAACCAGATATGACTAAGTATGGTGGCTGCTAGAAAGCTACGGTACGACTTTTTGAAAAAGTTTTTGTAATAGTCATTGCAACTTTTTTAATAGCAGTTTCTTATGCAATAGTTTCAGAGCTGCTTCAAATAATTGCAACTGCCCCAAAACAATCCCTAAGTTTAGTCATTTATCTACTTGTTACCCTGTTTTTGTTTGTTTTTCTCTTTTATTTTAGAAGGAGTCGTCAGCTTGTCGATCGTTGTATACTTCCCTTATTCGAATAAATCTCCCTCCTGAATCAGATCAATGATTTGAAGAGAGGAACCAAATAGGAAGAGACATACGACAAAACAACAAACAAGAAAAAACACAAAACATGAAGAGTCTAAGTACAGTAAACCTTGCAAGGATAAGTTAAGAGTGTTCGCCCAAACAAGATCGGGCGAAAGCACCTTAAACCGATATCCGCGAAAGAATATCTACGTAAACTACCCATAATCAGAGATTCAGGTGTAGGTGTCTGTTCTGGGGTCAAGAGTACTCCCAAGGGAACGTATCCCACTTGATTAATTACATCTTGGGAGGTACCCAAGAATACTCTCGATAAAAGGAGTTTCACTTGGATTATCGTGAACATGGGTAATAGGTACTCAAAGGATGGTTATTCCATGTGGGAGCAGTCCCGATGCTTCAAAGCTAACGCTAAGCCATTGGGTAAAGAGTGAGTTTCTCACATTCCGAATGGGTAGCGGCTCATCAGCACACATGACACACGAAATAACCTAAATCATCTTGATGAGGATATCCCAACATGTCAAAACACGTCTGAGCCATAAGGGCAGAAGAAAAATCGTCGTATCCTAAATGGGCGACAGCTCATCGGCATCGGACCGTTAAAATGATATCCAAGAAGTCAATGAGCGACAGGGCTCAAAGGGCTCAACAACAGGAATGTAGAGTGTTCCTACAAAGGTAGAGGTAACTCGGTCGGGGTTCCACGGACCCTAAGCCTACCTGGTTATGAAGGTAGTTGACCCAACACGTCCTAAATCCTCGGTCAATAATTCGTGAATTGCGTCGTCTACGGGGGATCTCGGTAGCCCTAAGGTCAGAGGAAAGAAACTATATTCTATAACTATAAGTTGGAGCTCCAAGAAGTGAAACTTATACCTGCCGAAATGACAAGGACGCCTCTGGAATGAAAGAGAAATAAAGGTTCAGCTACAAAGCTGAAAACACTCCCAACAAAAGGTCTTATACCCCGTCTGGGTCGGGTTTTGGGTTGGGGAGTTTTCTAACACCCTAGGCGCACTAGACAATCACCTATAAAAGATATGCTGAGCCAGTTAGATTGAAAAAGCACAGGGGCTCCTCCTTAGAACATGCAAATATGAATGCAGTTATCTGGAGCGGTCCTTAAGTATTGCGGAGACCCTATTAATATATGTAGGAAATTAAATGTTACAATTTTTAAATCCTGAATATTTTAATCCTAAATTTTAATTATCTTAAATATTTTATTTAGGATTTTGTAGAAAATTATAATTTTAGGGTCCTTAATGAGCCTAGATTATATCGTAAAATCCCAGATAAACCACAAAAATAAACAAGGAAAATACATGCAAGTGCAGATATGCAATATGGTGCAGAAAACAAAACAAGTCAAATCAAAATAATAAACAGGCCGGTGCTGTTGGGTCGACAACCTATCCCATAAAAGAAAAAGGCGGTCGGACTCCGTATATACATGTCCGGTCCTAATTCTATACTTCAATATAAAATGCAGAATTAAGATAAGGGGCACGAGCATCTGCTCCTGATCCCCTCCTAACGCCTCGGAACCCATGCCCGTATCTTATTTTTGCTACATGACTCTCCTAGACTCTAAATGTACATATAGAAAAGAAAAAAACTTAAACTTGCATGAAAATAAGTGTCAGCGGGAAAGCTCACATGCAAATAATGAATCATGAGCCATGTCTTAAAAGTGGTGGGGAGCTAAATAACACCTGCGAGTAAATTGTTAGAAATAATTACTTGCTTCCCCATAGTGGTACCTGTGTGTGTGCATATAAATAAACACGACTCCTTGCAGAAGAACACCCTTACACACTACTACATATATGCAACATGCAGTCACACCACAAACACAATGCAAAATAAAGATGTCTAGCTAGGGCAACCAATCCAACAAAGAATAATAGTCAGACATAAAAAAAATTACATAGCACTCTAAATTCTAGCATAGCATACCATCTAATGGAAAGTGCGTCAACCTAGTATCTAAGTGCAGGGTAAATCTGGGTACAGTATGATTTTGACGGGGTTGTCATACCAGCCCCATCCTAAAAATCCGAAGGATCTAAAGGGTGTCACGAAGAGTGGTGACACGAATTAGATCTATTAGATCTTTAACACAGTCATACTCGTGTCAATTCCGATGACTTAACTCGCATTGCTCACCGGGATCAACTTAGCAAGCAATTCTAGTTAAAGCATCGCGACCAACACGATGTCACTCTCCTAATGAGTCTGACTCACTATCTATGCAAGCATGCAAATGCAAACAATCACTTGACAGAAGTGATGAGTGTATCGTGAGACAGTAACTCAGTAAAAGATGGGCATTCCGTGGAGACAGTGGCCCGAACAAATGGGTGTGTCGTAGTGGCAGTGACCTGAAGGGTGGTCGTGCCGTGGAGGCAGCAACCCGAAGGTGTGGCGAGGTGGCAGTGACCAAAAGAGATGGCATGCCGTAGCGACAGTGGCCCAAGGTGTGTTGAAGCGGCAGTGACCAAAAGGGATGGGCGTGCCGTGACGGCAGTGGCCCGAAAAAGATATTCCCATGCTGTAGTGACCGGAGGAGATTGGCGTGTCGTGGCAGCAGTGACCCGAAGAAATGGGTGTGCTATGGAGACAGTGACCTGGATATGCAAAAATGTAGGTGAACATGCAAACAATCATGCATATGTACACACATAACATGCAGTGGTGCAAGTGGTCGGTCGACTGGGCCATGTTGTCCGGTCGAACCAAATTGATCAGTCGACCGGTTTGGTATGATCGACTGAGGTACTAGTAGAGTCAACTGGTTCGGGACAAACGATCGAGACACACGTGGTGCCGGTGCAAGTGCAAATGCGAGATATAAGGTGCAAGTGCAACGTGCAAATGCAATGTGTAATATGCAAAGTGCAAGTGCAAGTATCGGTGCGATATATAACATACAAGATGTAACATGCAAGACATGCACATGCAAACAATGAGGTGCAAATGACCACATATGATAGCGAGCCACGCTCGTACTAACGACATTACCTGAGAATCCTAAGGTTTAGACTCTTGGATGTGCGACACCGCCGCCTCTTGCTATGGTGAGAAAATGTGAGAGTTTCTCCCCGGATCTCCGAGGGGGAAACTCTCCACGGCGTCGCGAATTAGGATAATTACAAACTTTTCCTATTTTGCGAACTCCTCCAAACTTTACAAAGTGAGCCAACTACAAAGCTTCTATCACTTTGCCAAGTTCGACCTCCCAACTTCTCCAAGTAAAGCTGGGGAATCCAAAGCAAGGGGGGTGAGAGACTCAGACCTATCGGGACTTGTGCTAAGGCTCACAACAAGAGGGGACACACTCGGCTCTACGGTGGGTGTTTGGCCACGCACAAGAAGTTCTAACCTAAAGGCTGACTCTAGAAAAACCAACGATCCATCACGCGGGCTATTCGTCGCGCCGACCCACGCCGGTGCACGCACCCCGTGTTGGCGATCGAACTCACACGTCTAGACACCGGTACAACCTAGGGTCAACTAGAATTTAGAAAATATCACCACCGTGACGATGGTAGACGCATTTTCTTTGCTTGCTCCAAGCCGTCGAAGTCTGGTCCGTGCTCCAGTGTACTCGTAGAACGTGCATAGAACAATAAAACGAGCCAATGAGGGCAGGAGTAAGTGAGGTATACGAAATATCAAAAAATAAATAATTTAGCATATAAAAATATGAGACCCAAAAAAAAAGTACATTCGCGAGAGAGGATCGCTCGATAACAGTGAAGGAGGGGAGAATTTTCTCGCAACGGGAAAGATGTCCACGCCTTTTCAAGCTGATGTACCGTCGCTGTCCGTAGACGGTAGGACACTCCGACGAAGTTTCGACCACCGGGGAATGAGAGCCGACGAGGACACGCCGACGGCACGCAAATGAAAAATGCAAGGGAGAGGGTTTAAGCTCCACCATCTTTTCTTCTTGCAAGGAGATGAAGGTGGGCTGTGCAACGCCGACAGGAGGTTTGCACGTCAAAGGAGGCTTCGCCGACGAGAGGGGAAGCCATGGGTAGGGCTCAGCCAAGGAAGGAGGCCGGTAAAGGAGAGCTCGGACTTGAGAAGGAGGTAGGCAAGAGAGAGCTCAGATCGGCGGCAGGAGGGCGCTGAAGTTTGGGAGACCGGCAGGGGGGGGGGGGGGGGGGAAGAACAA